AGGATTTGAATCTCTGATTATAAAGGTTTAAGTTTTACACAATTACCGGGCTCTGCCACCTTAACAAAGCCCTTTTCTAGGGCGGGATTATGTTTGTGTATCTAATTAAGATGAAATCATTAGTTAATTTAAGGCGCTTGATTGAAGTTGGCCTTATTTCTCTGGTCCTTTCGTACTGGGAGAAATACACAATAGATAGAAACCGACCTGGATTACTCCGGTCTGAACTCAGATCACGTAGGACTTTAATCGTTGAACAAACGAACCTTTGATAGCGGTTGCACCATCGGGATGTCCTGATCCAACATCGAGGTCGTAAACCCTATTGTCGATATGGACTCTTGAATAGGATTGCACTGTTATCCCTAGGGTAACTTGTTCCGTTGATCAATTTTTTGGATCAATAAGCGATTGTGTGATTTGACTTGTGGGTCTAGTCTTTAAAATCGCTCGGAGGATTTTCTGTTCTCCGAGGTCACCCCAACCAAAGCTGTTAGCCCATAAAGAGTATTGTTGTTTCCTTAGTTATTAAATTTATTTCTTTGGGCTAAGTAGTTAAAGCTCCATAGGGTCTTCTCGTCTTGTTAATATATTCCCGCCTCTTCACGGGAAGGTCAATTTCACTGATTGGAAGTAAGAGACAGTAAAACCCTCGTTTGGCCATTCATACAAGTCCTTATTTAGAGAACAAATGATTATGCTACCTTTGCACGGTCAGGATACCGCGGCCGTTTAACGATTGTCACTGGGCAGGCAGTGCCTCCAATACTAGTTATGCTGGAGGTGATGTTTTTGGTAAACAGGCGGGGTTTAATGTTTGCCGAGTTCCTTTTACTTCTTTTAATCTTTCCTTAAGTGCACTCCTGTGTTGGATTAACAGTATAATTAATAAGTTATTTATGGTTGGGTTATTCTTATCTTGCTGTTAACAGTCAGAATATTATCAGATACTGACTTAAACTCGTGCAGGGAGAAGGGAGTTCTTGTTACTCATATTAACATTATTGCTTCTATTTTTATAGATTAGTCCAGTATTAAGGCTAGGAGTTGATTGTTTGTTATTGGGATTAATATAAGTTTATTGTTGAGCTTTAACGCTTTCTTAATTGGTGGCTGCTTTTGGGCCTACTATGGTATTATCAAATTTTACTCTCTAGTCAAGGTTGTATCCGTTTCTAAAAGGCTGTACCCTTTTAGACTAACTTTTAAAAATACAGTACATTTATTTGTATTTTTGGTATTTTTTAAAGCTGAACTTATATTCATTTCCTGGACAACCAGCTATCACCAGGCTCGTTAGGCGTTTCACCTCTACTTACAAATCTTCTCACTATTTTGCCACATAGATGAGTTGGTTCTCGATAAATTGTTCATAAGTAGCTCGTCTGGTTTCGGGGTACTTAGCTGAAATTCATTTTGTTAAGTTTTTACTAGTTAACTCATTATGCAAAAGGTACAAGAGGTAATCTTTGCTTTTTTGTACTTTTAATTTTTTCTTTCATCATTCCCTTACGGTACTTTCTCTATAGCGCCATATTTAAAATTTCTATCTCCTATACTTTAATTAATAGATAAATGTTTTATTTATATAATTTTGATAATTTAGTGTGAATGGGTTTGTGGGCTAGAATTAATTCAAGATATTCATAATATGTGAAATCTTCTAGGTGTAAACTAGGTGCTTTATTTAAGCTATATCTTGATCATCCAAGCACACTTTCCAGTATGCTTACCTTGTTACGACTTATCTCCTCTCATATTATTAATACATAGTAATAAGTTTAAGTGTATTGTGCTTACTTGAGGAGGGTGACGGGCGGTGTGTGCGTGCTTCATGGCCTAATTCAACTAAGCACTCTATTCTTAGTTTACTGCTAAATCCTCCTTTGGTTACTAATTTCATAATAACTTTCGTAGGGGGTTTTCTTAAGTTAGAAAATGTAGCCCATTTCTTTCCACTCCATAGGTTACACCTTCCTAACGTTTTTACGTATGATGATTGTGCTTACTTTTGTTCCTTTTTAGGGTTTGCTGAAGATGGCGGTATATAGACTGTATTAGCAAGGGGTGGTGAGGTTTATCGGGGTTTATCGATTATAGAACAGGCTCCTCTAGAAGGGTATAAAGCACCGCCAAGTCCTTTGAGTTTTAAGCTATTGCCGGTAGTACTCTGGCGAATAGTTTTGTTTATATAACTACTTGTGTTTAGGGCTAAGCATAGTGGGGTATCTAATCCCAGTTTGGGTCTTAGCTATCGTGTTTCAGCGGTTGTAAAGTTACTTTCGTTATTTATTTTCATTGTGATTATGGCTTTTTACAGCTTAATTGAAATTTAACTTTATTTGGTGTGGTGTTTAAACACGCTTTACGCCGTAGGCCTATTAACTTGGGTTAATCGTATGACCGCGGTGGCTGGCACGAAATTTACCAACCCTAATTAACATGGCTTAGTCAAACTTTCGTTTATAGCTTAATTTTTATCACTGCTGTCTCCCGTGGGGGTGTGGCTAAGCAAGGTGTCATGAGCTACAGGTGTGTGCTTGATACCAGCTCCTCTTGGTCTTATTGACCTGGAGGGCATTTTCACTGGGATGTAGATGCTTGCATGTGTAAGTCTGTTAAGGGTTAATAGGAAGGCTGGGACCAAACCTGTGTGTTTATGGAGTAAATATACTCATCTAGGCATTTTCAGTGCCTTGCTTTGTTGTTTAAGCTACATTAACTATGATTTGGGGAAGAAAAAATGGCGCTTATATACTTACCTTGTCCTGGAGTGCTATTTGAGTATTGAAAATGTGATAAATTTAAAATTCTATCTAGGGAAAAGTGTGTTAAAAATGATGGTAACCATATAAGGGGGAAAGTTTTAGGGGGGGGGAAGATTGTAGGGTTGAATCGTGAAATAATAATAATTATGTCCTGCTACCATTGACTGCTATGCCCGTGCCTACCATTATGGGGATGCTCAAGATGCAGTTAAGTCCAGCTACAATTTATGCTCCGGGTCGGGGCCTCAGACGGCCATAGCTGAGTCCAAGCATCCCCCCAAAAATTAAAAATACCAAATGTATGACACCACAGTTATGTGTGAGCATGGGCTGATTAGTCATTAGTCCATCGAGATGTCTTATTTAAGGGGAATGAGTGGGCGATTTTAGATGAGATGGCCCTGAAGAAAGAACCAGATGTCTGATAAAATTCATTAAATAGCTACCCCCACAATGTATGGGCCCGGAGCGAGAAGAGGGATCCTTGCCAAGCGGGTTGTTGGTTTCACGCGGCATGGTAATTAAGCTCGTGATCTAGGGGACGGGATACGCATGTTGACAAGAAAGGATTTGACTTAATGTGCTATATACGATCAATAATATTATGTACTATGTACTGTAGATAATGTCAAGTACTTGCTTATAAGCATGGGGCATATAATTTAATGTACTATTATACATAGTATGTCTTAATGCATTAATTTTATGTACTATAGCCGTACAGGATCATATATGTACATTTATTAAATAATTTGTGTAGTTAATGGTATTTAAGATATAATATGGCTATTGAGTGCAGAACTGTATTAAATTCCTAAAGGTTTTTAGAAATTTAATACTGACAAGGCTCTTGAATTTTGTGGAGCTATATTAATATACGCCAGGGAATAGTTTAATTAGAACTTCAGCTTTGGGTGTTGATAGTGGGGCTATAGCTTCTTCCTTGAGTCTTAGGGAGATTAGTTATTCTCCTTTTCTGGTTTACAAGACCAGTGTATTAAGTGTACTACAAAGACTTATCCTCATTTTAGGAGATTATTTTCGATTGTGCTGGTAATTGGTATAAGTACTAGGATAATGAGAAAATATAGGATTGATGCTAGTTGTCCAATCGTAATAAAGGGATGTTCAACTGGTTGTCCTCCAATTCATGTGAGTGTTAGTAGATCTGCTACTAAAATTCAGAATAGACATTGACTGAATGGTCGGAATATTATGCTGCGCTGTTTAGATGTGTGAAGTAGAGATATAAGAATTAAGATTAGGATGGATGAGACTAGGGCTAGGACTCCTCCTAGTTTATTTGGAATTGATCGTAGGATTGCGTATGCGAATAGAAAGTATCATTCAGGTTTAATGTGAGGAGGAGTGTTGAGTGGATTTGCTGGGGTATAGTTGTCTGGGTCTCCTAGTAAGTCTGGTGCAAATAGTACTAGTAGTATAAGGAAAAGAACTAGGAGTAGGACGCCTAGAATATCTTTGATGGTATAGTAGGGATGGAATGGGATTTTATCTGTGTCTGATGGGATTCCTGTTGGATTGTTAGATCCTGTTTCGTGAAGGAAGAGTAAATGGACTATAGCGAGTGCTGCGATAATAAATGGGAGAATAAAGTGGAAAGCGAAAAATCGGGTCAGAGTTGCTTTGTCTACAGAAAATCCTCCTCAAATTCATTCGACTAGGTTTGTGCCAATATATGGAATTGCTGAGAGGAGATTTGTAATAACTGTTGCTCCTCAGAATGATATTTGTCCTCATGGTAGGACATATCCTACGAATGCTGTAGCTATTACTGTAAATAGGAGGATCACTCCAATATTTCATGTTTCTAGGAAGGTGTATGATCCGTAGTATAGGCCTCATCCTACATGTATAAATAAGCAGATGAAAAATATTGATGCTCCGTTGGCATGTATATATCGGATGATTCAGCCATAATTGACGTCTCGACAGATGTGAGTAACAGAGGAGAATGCTGTTATTGTGTTGGATGTATAATGTATTGCTAGAAATAGACCGGTGAGGATTTGTAGGATTAAGCAGACTCCTAGTAGAGAGCCGAAATTTCATCATGATGAAATGTTTGATGGAGCTGGGAGGTCAATAAATGCGTTGTTTACAATTTTTATTAGTGGATGGGTTTTTCAGATGTTGGTCATTGGTGTTCTTGTAGTTGAATGACAACGATGGTTTTTCATATCATTAGTCGTGGTTAAATTCCATGCGAGAATAATGATAACATACATTGTATTTATTTTAAGTATTATTTTTGTGCTTGGTTTTGTAGGATTTTCTTCAAAACCTTCGCCTATTTATGGGGGATTAGGTTTAATTGTGAGTGGTGGGGTTGGTTGTGGAATTGTATTAAATTTTGGTGGGTCTTTCTTAGGTTTGATAGTTTTTTTAATTTATTTAGGAGGAATAATAGTGGTTTTTGGTTATACAACGGCTATGGCTACAGAGCAGTATCCTGAGATTTGGGTGTCTAATAAAACCGTTTTAGGAGCATTCATAACTGGCTTGCTAATAGAAGCTGTGATGGTTTGTTATGTGTTGAAAGATAAAGAAGTAGAAGTTGTATTTCAGTTTAATGGTCTTGGGGATTGAGTAATTTATGATACAGGGGATTCTGGGTTTTTTAGTGAGGAAGCTATGGGAATTGCAGCTTTATACAGTTATGGGACTTGGTTGGTTGTTGTAACTGGTTGGTCTTTGTTTATTGGCGTAGTAGTTATTATGGAAATTACTCGTGGAAATTAAGTAGTATAGTGCTAATAATAATTGTAATTAAGAAAGAGAGGAAATATAGTTTGATTAATCCTTTTTGGTTTGTGATTATGATTGATATTTTTGTTTGTATAAGTGAAGTTGTTTTTGGTAAGATATTTTCGAGTCAGATTAAGTCTAGAAGGGAGGAGGCTGATTTTTGACTTATTGTTAAGTTTATATAAGGGGTTAGGCGGTGTATAATTGTGGGAAAATATCCTAATATATTGGAAAATTTGAAGGTATTTGATGAATAGTTGAACTTTAGGTTTTGAGTTATATTACTGATTTCTAGTGCTAGAATAAAGCCTAAGATTGTTACTGCTAGGGCTGTTATTTTTAGGTAGTGAGGTATTGTAATTTGGGGAATTGTTATTGGAGGAATATTATTAGAAATAATAAACCCTGCGAATAGGCTTCCGATTATAAGGCGTTTGATGGAGTTCATTAGAAAAGGATTATTTTCGTTAATGGGCATTAAGGTTGGGAATCGAGGTTGTCCTAGAAGTGCAAAGAAGATGATGCGAGTGCTATAAATAGCTGTGAAGGAGGTGGCAATTAATGTTATTAAGAGGGCTCAGGCGTTGGTATATGACGTGTTAGCGGTTTCGATAATTAAGTCTTTAGAGTAGAATCCGGTAAGGAAAGGTATTCCAGTTAGTGCTAGACTGCCAATAATTAGGGCTGTTGTGGTGAATGGTATGGCTTTAAATAGGCCTCCTATTTTTCGGATGTCTTGTTCGTCATTTAGACTATGAATAATGGAACCGGAGCATATAAATAGTATGGCTTTAAAAAAAGCGTGGGTGCAAATGTGGAGAAATGCTAAGTAAGGCTGGTTAATGCCAATTGTTACTATTATAAGGCCTAATTGGCTGGATGTAGAGAAAGCGATAATTTTTTTGATATCGTTTTGGGTGAGAGCACATATTGCTGTAAATAGTGTGGTAATAGCTCCTAGGCATAGTAAGACAGATTGTGCGAATTTGTTATTTTCTGTTAGTGGGTGGAAGCGAATTAGTAGAAAAATACCTGCTACTACTATTGTGCTTGAATGGAGTAATGCTGAAACAGGAGTAGGGCCTTCTATTGCAGATGGTAGTCATGGGTGTAGGCCGAATTGGGCAGATTTTCCGGTTGCAGCTAGTGCGAGGCCTATTAGGGGTATGTTAGATTCGTTCGGATTTAGTATAAAGATTTGTTGAAAATCTCAAGCGTTAAGGTTAACTAGGAATCATGCTATTGCTAGGATAAAGCCGATATCGCCAATGCGATTATATAAAATTGCTTGTAGAGCAGCTGTGTTTGCATCTGCTCGTCCATATCATCATCCGATTAGTAGAAATGATATAATTCCTACGCCTTCTCATCCGATAAACAATTGAAATAGGTTATTTGCTGTAACGAGAATAAGCATAGTAATAAGGAATAGGAGGAGGTATTTAAAAAATTGATTAATGTTGGGGTCTGAGTGCATGTATCATATGGAAAATTCTATGATAGACCACGTGACAAATAATGCTACTGGAACGAATATTATTGAGAAATAGTCTATTTTAAAGCTTAGTGATAGTTTAACTGTTTGGACTGTAAGTCAGTGTCAGTTTGAAATAATTATTTCTTGGCCTGTGTGAATAAATATTGTTGTGGGAATTATACTGGTGATAAAGGCACATGAGATAGTTGTTTTTACGTGTAATGGATAGTTATAGGTTTTGTAGTTATCGGAGCTCGTGGTTATGATAGGGATAGTTAATAGAATTAGGGTAATTAGTGTAAAGGAAGAGAATAGGTTTATTACTTTTATTTGGAGTTGCACCAATTTTTTGGTTCCTAAGACCAACGGATTACTACTATCCTTTAAAAGTTCGAAAAAGCCATGTTGTTATACATGGGAGCATAGAATTAGCAGTTCTTGCATGCTTTTTCGGCAAATAAGGAGATACAAGCTCCTATAATCAGATTCACAGTCTAATGTTTTTTTTAAACTATATTTACAGCACAAAGGTCCTAGGATAATTTTTGGGTTTAGTGATAGTAGTAGTAGAGGCAGTATGTGTAATGATATGAGAGCATTTTCTCGTGTAAAGGAGGGTAAAATGTTAATATGGTGAGTGTACTTACCTCGTTGTGTTGTGATTAATATGTAAAGGGAGTATAGGGCGGTAATTACTATATTTAGTCCTATTAGAATAATTGTGATATTGGATCATGAGAATGTGGATATGACTACAAATAGTTCTCCAATTAGGTTAATTGTTGGAGGGAGAGCCAAGTTCGTTAGGCTTGCTAGGAGTCATCAGGTAGCTATTAGTGGAAGAAAGGTTTGTAGGCCTCGGGCTAGGATCATTGTTCGGCTATGAATTCGTTCATAGTTAGAGTTTGATAGGCAAAAGAGTATAGATGAGGTTAGGCCATGAGCGATTATTAGGGCTGTAGCCCCTATATAACTTCAAGGTGTCTGAATAAGAATAGCTACAATAACAAGTGCTATATGACTAACAGAGGAGTATGCGATTAGTGACTTAAGATCTGTTTGGCGAAGGCAGATTGAGCTAGTTATAATTATGCCTCATAATGATAATATAATGAAAGGGTATGCTATAAACTCGGTAAGTGGATTTAGAAATATTGTGACTCGTAATATACCATATCCTCCTAGTTTCAGTAAGATTGCTGCAAGAACTATAGAGCCTGCAATGGGGGCTTCTATGTGAGCTTTGGGTAGTCAGAGGTGGAGGCCATATAGTGGTATTTTTACTATAAAGGCTATTATACATGCTAGCCATATGAAAACGTTTGATCAGGAGTTTGGTAAGGGTTGCACTCAGTATTGGAGAATTAAGAAGTTTAGGGATCCAGTAATGTTTTGGAGATAAACTAGTGCAACTAGTAGTGGAAGGGAGCCTACTAGTGTATAGAATAAAAAGTAGAGACCTGCATTTAGGCGTTCTGTTTGATTTCCTCATCGGGTAATAATAATAAGGGTTGGGACCAGTGTTGCTTCAAATAAAATATAAAAGAAAATTAATTCTATGGCAGTGAAAGTCATAATTAGGAATAGTTGTAGTAGGATTAGTATAGTAATATACAGTTTTTTTCGAGTTAAGCTTTCTTTTGATAAATGATGTTGGCTAGCTATTAATATTAGAGGAAGAAGCCATATGGTTAGGATTAGTAGTGGTGTTGATAGAGAATCAGAGAAAAATACTAAGGAGAAGTTTAGGCTATTGTCGCTGAATTGATTTATAAGAAGAAGACTTGTGAGGCTAATTAGTAGACTATGGGTTGTGGAGTTAATTCAGATTAGGTTGCCTTTTGATAATCAGGTCAGAGGCATAAGTATTACTGTGGGAATAATATATTTTAGCATTGAAGTAGATTTAGGTTTTGAACGTAGTCAGTGCCATATGTATTTGATACTATTACTAGTAATGATAGCCCTAGTGCTGCTTCGTAGGCTGCAAAGACTAGTAAGATAATAGGCATCATGCTTGCTAGGGTAAAGTGTGAGTATTTAGATCTTTAATCCATTTTGAGTTTATTTTTGTGTATGGTGTTAGAAAGTGTTCTAGTTTCATTCTTTTACAGGTGGTTGACCAGTTTTCCCAGCACCACTTGTTAAAGAGGTTGTCTTTTTTCCATTGTATATCCTTGCCTCCTTTGTCAAAGATAAGGTGACCATAGGTTCGTGGATTTATCTCTGGGCTTTCTATTCTGTTCCATTGATCTATATTTCTGTCTTTGTGCCAGTACCATACTGTCTTGATGACTGTGGCTTTGTAGTATAGTCTGAAGTCAGGCAGATTGATTCCTCCAGTTCCATTCTTCTTTCTCAGGATTACTTTGGCTATCCGAGGTTTTTTGTATTTCCATACAAATTTTCACAATATATTTTGAAATCAGGGAGTATGGTTTTTATTTCTCAGGATTGCTTTGGCTATTTGGGGTCTTCAGTTTGTTAGAGTTACTTTGTGACCTAATATGTGTTCTATCCTGGAGCAGGTTCTGTGTGCACTTGAGGAGAATGTGAGTTCTTCTACACTTGGATAATAACTACTGTATATTTCTGTTATGTCATTTTAGTCTATTGTGTTCTCACATCAGTTGCTTCCTTCTTGATTTTCTGTCTGAATGTTCTATCCACTAAGTGAGGTATTAAAGTGTCTTACTATTATTGTACTGTTGTCACTTTCTGCCTTTAGAACTGTCCCACCTTTATTAATGTATGATTGACAAATAAAGAATTTGTATATATTTAAGACATATAATATGGAGATATATCAATATCTGCTTTACACATTTAGCTGTGTATTCATATAAATGTTATATCATCCTGTTGAATTGACCCTTTTATCATTATGCATTTACCTTCTTTGATGCCAAAGACAGTTTTAGACAAAATGTCTATTTTGTGTGGTATAAGTGTAGTTACCCTTGCCAGGCTGGAGAGGGTGAGCCAAGCTGGACAGGGCTAACTTGAGAGCATCCCTTTGGGGGCCCAACCCTGTGACCCCCACCTTTTAAAATTATGTTCCTGCTCCTCCAGGGTCAAAGATAGGAACTTGGTACTCCTCATGCTTCTACGATACTCCACCTGGCACCAGGATCACGTGAAAAAGAAAAGAGCTGATGTGTGCAGAGAATTGACTCTTTTGTTCCCCTTCTGTATCAACCTAAACAATATATCCAATAAATACACATCAATATCAGCCAACTCTTATGGGAGCAATAAGGTGACCCGAGTAAAAGGTAATACTTGAGTTTTGTGCTAAGGAGACTTGAGAAACTAATAGGATTTTATGGGGAGGGGGGGTTGTTTTTATTATTTTACTAATATG